AGCAAGTGAGTTAAAGGGACTCTGCCTGTTTTGGGGGAGGTTCTCAGATTTTTTGGGGGGGTTCGCGGGCTTTTCAGGTTCCATTTAGTGATAAGAGTCTCTCTTTTTGCGGTTCGCCTGGTCATGTTCATTGGCAATTGGACCTTTTGATCCCCAGGTGAACCCAAGAATCTTTTGGTTCACCGTCTCCTTCAGGCCGCGGCGGCCGTTGCCGCCGGCCGCGCCGCGGCAGAGGCCACGGATGGCCACAGCGAGGCCGCAAAAAAATGGGTCCCTCGATCCGTGTTGTTTGTTGTTGTTTTTCAGAAGGGGTGCTCCCTGGGATGTAGTTTTAGCACTGCAAGGCTCCGAAAACACTGCGAAACCATGGTTTTGTGCATGTGGCGGTGCTGTTTTCCCCCAGATAGCTGAAAGCTATAGGGGTTCTAACTTCTAATGAAGAAGGAAAAGTGATTTGCGAGATTGAGGGCCGGGTGCTAGGGGGCATGCAGTTTGGGGTGCTGGTGGAGGTGCTGCTTTGCGAGCTTGACGGCCGGGTGCCAGGGGGCATGCAGCTTGGGGTGCTAGTAGTGGAGGTGCTGTTTTGCGAGAGTGATGGTCGGGTGCTAGGGGGCATGCAGTTTGGGGTGTTGGTGGAGGTGCTGTTTTGCGAGATTGACGGCCGGGTGGCATGCAGTTTGGGGTGCTGGCGGAGGTGCTGTTTTGCCAGAGTGATGGCCGGGTGCTAGGGGGCATGCAGTTTGGGGTGTTGGTGGAGGCGCTGTTTTGCGAGAGTGATGGCAGGGTGCTAGGGGGCATGCAGTTTGGGGTGCTGGTGGAGGTGCTGTGTTGCGAGCTTGACGGCCGGGTGCTAGGGGGCATGCAGTTTGGGGTGTTGGTGGAGGTGCTGTTTTGCGAGAGTGATGGCCGGGTGCTAGGGGGCATGCTGCTAGTGGAGGTGCTGTTTTGCGAGCGTGATGGCCGGGTGCTAGGGGGCAGGCAGTTTGGGGTGTTGGTGGAGGTGCTGTTTTGCATGGCCGGGTGCTAGGGGGGCATGCAGTTTGGGGTGCTCGTGGAGGTGCTGTTTTGCGAGAGTGATGGTGGAGGTGCTGATTGACGGCCGGGTGCCAGGTGTGACGTGCTGGTGAGGTGCTTTGCGAGATTGATGGCCGAGCGCTACGGGGCATGCAGTGGGTGCTGGTGGAGGTGGTGCTTTGCGAGAGTGATGGCCGGGTGCTAGGGGGCATGCAGTTTGGGGTGCTAGTGGAGGTGCTGTTTCGCGAGAGTTGGCCGGGTGCTAAAGGCATTCAGTTTGGTGTTGGTGGAGGTGCTGTTTTGCGAGAGTGTTTGCCTGTTTTGCGAGAGTGATGGCCGGGTGCTAGGGGGCATGCAGTTTCGGGTGTTGGTGGAGGTGCTGTTTTGCGAGATTGACGGCCGGGTGCCAGATGTAGTTCGGGGTGCTGGTGCTGTTTTGCGAGCTTGACGCAGTTTGGGGTGGTGGTACAACTGCTGTGTTGGGTTGCCGGGGTTCTAACTTCTAATGAAGAAGTGGGATTGTTTTGCAAGATCGACGGTTGGGAGCCAGGGGGCATGCACTTTGGGGTGCTGGCGCATGTACAGTTTTGAGGTGCTGTTCGGGCTGGTGACAGCACGTGACGGCAAGGTGCTCGGTGCTCGGGGACCTGTCCAATGCTGGTGCGGGTGCTGCGTTGGGGTGCTGTTGGGGCTGCTGTCTTGAGGTGTTGGTGACGGTGTGGGCGCATATGGACGGCAGGGTGCTAGGGCGGGTGCTGTTTCATGATGCCGTTGAACCGGTTCGGACGTTGTTGCTGCTCTAGTAGTCTAACAGTTGTTTGTCATGGTGCGTGGTTCGTGGCTGGTGTGTCATCATGATGTTGTCACCCACGTCATGATGCTGCTGTCACTGCGATGCTGCGATGCTGCGTTATGGTTCGTGGGTGTGGTGGCGCCATGATTGCTGCCAACATCAGGATGATGCTGAATTTCACTACGCCGTCGCGAGAAGATTCGTGGCTGTGGTATCATCATGATGCTGCCTTTTCAATTTTACCATTACCATGATGCTGTTCGCATCACCATGATGCTGTCCGCATCATGGTGGTGCTGTCCGCATGATCGTGATGCTGTCCGCATCATCATGATGCTGTCGAACTCATCAGGACGTCGTCTCTGCCTTTTTTCTGCTAGATATGTGGCGCGGAATCGTTCGTTGCTGGTGCATCAGCATGATGCTGTCAACATCATCATTTTTGCTGCTGAACTCATTAGGACGCTGTCTTCGTGTCTATTTAGCGCACATGCTGAGCGGCTGTGGTATCATCATGATGCTTTCAACATCATCATGATGCTGTCAACATCATCATGATGCCTCGGGAACCATTATGATGCTGCATAATGGTTCGTAGCCGTGATGTGCTATCTGGGGTCTACGCTGGTGTAATTTTTTTGGGGGGGGACCCACAAAAATGGGTGGGGCTCCTTTTGGTTTCCCTGTCAAGCCCGGAGGACCCACAAAAATGGGTGGGGTTCCTTTTTCCAGGGGTTGATTCCTTCTCCTTTTTTTTCACCCATGGTTCTTTCCAAAAGCCGGATACCGTTTTCCCTGGGTTTCCAGAGGCTTCTAGAAAGATTCGGATCCCTGGAAAGAATGGGGAAGGCTAAGGTACCCCTACAAAAATGGGGGGGGTGCTCCTTTTGGTTTCATCCCTTTCAACTAGCCCCAAAAAGAATTCGGACAACCCCCAAAAATGGTGGTTTGCCTTTTGGTGTTCTTTCAAGCTCTAAGGAAGACACACTCACGTGGATGGGAGGGGAGGGTGGCGGCATGGAGTGAATGGGAGAGAATTGGATTCCATGGCTCCCTTACGTGAAATGAATGGGCAGCAAGCCAACACCCTCCGGCCCACACTGTCACGGTGTGTTGGGTGGTTGGAGCCTTTTCCTTCCAAACTCCTTGCTTCAGGGTGAAAGCACAGTTTTGGATTGGATTCTGCCCCTGGGCTCGTGTGTGGCTTGCCGCTCTGGGGGACAGCGTGCGGGCGGGAAGTAGATGCATTGCACACCCGGCACAAGGCCAGAATGACACCCCACTCCCTCCATCAAAGGCCAAGATGCCAGGGTGAAGACTTCTAATCAAAGCCATGATCGGCATCGTTTGGAAATAGGTAGCGTCGCATTTGTTACGGGCAGTGAAGCAAGTAGATATATGGCTGTCCTGGCTATCCTGGCTATCCCTTGCCAGCTGGGAGTTGTTAGATGGTGTTGCTTCGTCTCGCGATAATCGGAATGGATTCGTGAGTGGAGCAGGAGAAGCTTGCTGACGCATTGAGGTTCAAAGTTTCCAACCGGTGGCAGACTACAGCTACCCAGGGTCATTGATGGGGATTTGCAGCTTCGGAGAGCCAACAATTTCAAAGTGGACGGGTTGCTCATCGGGTTCTATTCGATTCATTGGGTAATCAACTTGGGTTCAGTCATTGGACCTGAATCCGTGTGCGTTTAGATGTATGACATATCTTACTTGGGATCCACACACCACAAAGTGAAATTTAGGCTTGCCCGTCCTCGGACGTGTATTTCCACACCGGTTTTCTGAAAGCCGTGAGGAGAAGGTGGCAGAAGACGCTGGGCGGGCTGCCGCAAAAGCTGCTGTTTCTGTGACTCAGCTTGGAACTTGGTGCTTTTCAGCCATCCGGTTCCTTAGCTTTTTGGCTTTTGTTGAGTTGGTTTAGTGGTAGTTTCCGTATTTACCCCCCCAAAAAAAAAACAAAAACAAAAAAAACAACGTTTAGCAGGGGATCAGTTCGGACGGACCACAGTTTTGTCTAGTCGATAACTTCCCGAAAAGGAGTTGGTGCCATCTACTTGCACCCTGGACCTTGGAACAATTGGACTTCAAAGGAGCCAGTTGCCCAGTGGTACCGTTTTTTCCACTATTTTTTGGGGAAGGGTTCCCCTTTAAAGCCAACCAGCCAAACAAGGATGCCGCCTTTTTTCCCATGGCCACTGGGCATTTGAGAAGGCGCCTTCTTGGGCATCTGTAAAGGTGTGAAGTTCTGGTGGAAGAGGATCCCTCGAGTCAAAACCGATTCGGGTAAAAGCAAAAACAGGGAGGGCAAGGGATTTGTTTAGTCCCTTGCCAGCAGTTGGGTGGGGATCTTCGGCCTTTCGAATTCTGGAAGCATGCCGGGCTTGGGCCATTTGACTGCCAGGTTTGATTATGACTCACTCTTGCACAGTCATTGGGTGGAGCTCCTGTTTTCCCCGTCCGGCGACTTGATGAGATTGATCGACATGCCCCGACAAGGTCCTTCTGCCTGGGAGAAGGTGTGTTTGTAGGCTATCAGTGAAGGTGCACCGATTGATTGGTTTGATTTGTAGTTTTCGCACGCCTAAAATGTGCAACCATGGTGGTACCAATGACCGCAGGAGCCAACTTGCCAACATGTTCGTCCGTTTGAAGGCACTCGCCAGTTTGGAGCGCTTCGCAATCACTCGCCCGTTGGGTCCAAAAGGCCGGACCAATAGGCGTAGCAGCACCTTATAAGATGTAGCCTTGACACTTGGCACTATTGATTTTCACGTTTGGGGTGGCTTTATGCCCGACTCGGCCAGGCTAGTCTTGAAGTCAGGTGAAGCAAGTTGTCGCTGAGATTTGCTTCTGGTTCTCGGTGCCGCGGCGACCCAAACAGGTTTCACGGCTCGCAGCCCGATGGCAACGGATGGGGTATCCTTCTGGGAGCCCCGAAGACGGCTTCTACTCAATGTTGCCCAGTGCCGCCCCTTTTGGTTCCTTTTTGTGGGGAAGGGTTCCCCAAAAAAAAACTCAAGCAACCAAAAACGGAGGCCGATTCTTTTTCCCCGAAGTTCACTGGGCAGAGTTCACTGGTGTCTTTGGTTCCTCTCAGCCGTGAGATGTGTTCGAGATGGATCTCCGGAGGCTGGCATGAGCTCGGAGAAAGCGGCAGCCATTGCTGCAGAGGTGGGGTGATGTTTAGCCTTCGAAGCTGAGCCGACTTGCGGCAAAAGTGTTACTTTCGCCAGAGGCTTCCAATTGCTTTGTTTTTGAGTCCTGGGATGTCCAAAAAACAGCGGAGAAAAAAAAGAGCCGGGCTGAGGTTGTTTGGCTTAACAAGGACCACAGCCATGAGAACGGCCATGGGTGTTCTTTTGAAGCGACTTGCTGCTGATTTCCCCTCCATGTGCCTGAAGACCATACGTTTGCTGAGATGCACACTCGCAGAGCCCAAACCAAGAGAGCGCAGGCTGGCGATTCTGGCACGGAACAGAAGCAAGAACCGCCATTAGACCTTGAACAGTAGTTTGCTTTGTTCCTGTCCAACATCAAGGAATAATCCAGCGAAGGCTTCCTTCAGGGCCCCGCAAGATGGGTGTGTTTGTTTTGACACCAGACCCAGATGAAGGCTCGTTGCATGCACTTGCCACATCTACGGAATCCTGCGAGGCGGCTGGCCACGCAGTGGAAGCTGCAGGGCCAGAGGTAGCACATCGGGGCGACGCTTGGCTGGAGGGTCGGAAAGAGGGACGTGGCAACACCTGTCAATCATCAACCTGTCGGCCACGGTAAGATGAGTCAGTTTCTTTTTGGGGTGATGTTTACGGTGAAAGTTTCGGGAGCACTGTGAAAGGAAACCACACGCAACCCCTTCTTGAAAACAAGCCCTTGTGTTTTCACGTGGACCGACGCTTCGCGGCGGAGAAGTTTCTTGCAGCTTGGCGGATTGGCGGCCGCACTGCGTTTCAACTAGCTGCAGATGTGTTTCTGACTACAGACTTGGGAATTCTGAGATTTTTATTTCCAACGTGGTTGGAGCTCAGCGCTCAATACTACCCCTTGCCAGGGGTGCTGACCATGGGCAGGTTTCCTATTAGCTGAAAGTGTTTGGTGTGTTTAAAAAGTCGTATCATACCGCGCCCAGGCGTGCGAGTCGTAGGCAAGATTCCTAAATGCCGAGGTTCAGCCTAAGGCACCCCTGCCGGAGCTCTAAAGCTGGGTGTCGAGGTAGGGATCGTAGAGGTGAGTCATGATACTCAACTGGATTCAATCGCGTCATATTGGGTAAGGTCAACGCCGACATACTTTCTATTTGCAGAATGGTTTGATGATTTGTGAAATTTTGTGGGGGGCAACCTTTTCAGGTGATTTAGGGTCAATGTCCCACCGTGCTGGGGGGGGGGTTTTCAGGTGATTAGTCAGCCAGGGGGTTCCATCGGAATGGCGGAATGAGCATTGACGGCAGGCGGCCAAAGCGGGCGAGGCCGCGGGGCTTGAAGTACGCGAGGCAGAAGAGGCACGAGTTTTGAGGCGCCGTTTCGGCAAACTTAAACAGGGGTCCCTATATTTCCCATTTTGGCTGTTTTAAACATCACCTTTTTGGCCCATGAAAGGTGAGTATCCCTTGGTGGGGGTGATGTTTTAAGGGGAAATATAGGGAGCCCTGTTAAAGTCAGGTTTACTTGGGGTGGTGTTTGAAGGGGGAGAAAAAAAGAAGGGGGAACGGGCATGGGTGTCCTTTCTGGTTGGTTTGTTTACGAAGTTGAGGGCCCTGGTTTACCTGGTGGGTCACTCATCTAGCAGGGCCATCGATTTTTCCAAACAGGACACCTATGCCTGTGTGAGTGTGATCTTTGTCAGTCCTTCAGAAGCCAAAAGAATCCAAGTTGTGCCCGGAAGCGAAGGTTTCTGCCCAAGTTGCCACGAGAGGGACCAGCCTTGCGGGTTTCACCTTTGGAGAGCGAAGCCGCCGTGCCGTTGGTTCTTGTAATGTTGACATTTGGTTCCATCGTCTTGGAACCCGAACATTTTTATTGGACACATTGCTACGTACCGTTGGAAACATGATTGTTCATGCATCCTATATGTATATGTAGTGAGCAAGTGCTGAAAGATAGATCGACAGGATGACTGCTTCGCAAGCATCAGTGTTCCACACGAGTACGTGAGCACCGTGCAAAACATCGTTGTAGATGTTTAGTAAGAGTTGTGTCATATCGACCAGTGCGCAAACAGAACCTCCATGCGCGTAAGGCGAACGCCTCTACATGTGTTGTAAGCAAAACATGCGATGCGCAAGGAATGCCTAAGCGGGGGCGTGCGCAACCCGATGCGACATAGCAACACATCACATGTTTAGGAAGTGTCACAGGTGCAAATTTGCTTCATGCTGCATCAGTTGATTTGCTTCATTGATTGGAGCTTTGAGCAGGCCAGGTGATTTTTCCTACCCAAGTTTGCTGGGAACCCTAAGGCTCCCGGCTGACACGCCGGGTACCTCCGTGCCTGGAAATTCCCTTCAACCCGCCTGAGTCGGCTGTTCTCCTCCCTGGGAAACAAGAATCCAGCCCTAGTCGTTCCCCATGTCTTTTTTTGGATCTGAACTTAATTCAACTGGTCTAGGCAAACACCAAACATGATTGTAACATGTTTGTGGGCAAGCCTGTTAACTGCTCACTTAATTCAAATGGTCTAGGCAAACACCAAACATAATTGTAACATGTTTGTTGGTAAGCCTGTTAACTGCTCACTGCTCGCTGTTAACTAATTTAATCCCCTTACCCGTAGCTGATGGTTCGTCAGTACTAGCTTCCCTTTAGGTTAACCACCCGAATGGTCAACCTCCCTTTTTCTACCCGCTCTTTGCCAGGCGGGCCGGGCGGCGGCGGCCGCAGCCAGTGGCCAAGAGGAGCAGACGCAGCAAGCAGCGGCCGCGGCCGCCGGGAAGGTGCCCTTCACGGACCGTTTTGGAAGGGGTGAGTTGTCGTGAAACTGGGACCCCTTTATTGGACAATTCATGGCGGAAAGTAAGAGGAAGCCAACCACATGCATGGGGATGCCTCTTCCGAATTCATTGCAGTCTTGCATATCCTTGCAATATCCTTGCATATCCGTGCGTTGTGCTTTTGTTGTTGCTGCTCTGCTACAGAATCTCGATTGGATTGAGTGACTCATTGGAGATGGATCGATTAGAATGGGGGGGGGTGCTATCTGACATAGATTGGTGCGTGTGTGTGTGTGACATGCTTGCTTGCTTTTGTTTGATGCAAACATGCTGCTCGCCATCTGATATGTAGCAGTGCGATGGCTTGTTCCTTGAGCCAGGCAGCTGCTGCGGCCGCAGGTCAGGGGGGGCACAGGGAAGGCAAAGGCTTGGGGCTGAGGGCTGTGTAGCTAGTCATCTCAACTTTGGTGCATTTTGCTTAGATGATAGAACTTTAGCTTTTTGCCAACTAATGGGGTTTCCATTAAACCATGAAAAGTTAAGAACTTTTAGAAGGGGAGAAGAAAGCAACCGAGTCAATCTTGTTAGTTATATGACATTGAATGCAGATGGGAGGAAGCTTTCAGCGCGCGCACGCACGCACGCACGCCCGCACGAGTGGCTTTCTGAAAGCGCATCTTTATGAAAACCTTTCAGAATACGTGATAGTTTGAGAAGGTCACATGAGGTACCACACATGAGTGCCCAGCCCATGTGAATAATGTGCGTCCCCATGGTAGTAGTTGGGACCATTACCCACTTTTGAGCTCCAGCAACTTGATCAATTTGTACACTCAAATCCAACAATACTAAATCAAACAATTAATGGAAGCTCAAATCAAGTTTAAACGCCAGCTCCAGCAGTACTACACCACATGGAAAGTCAAATCCCACGGTACTGAATCCAATGGATACTGAAAGCAACATCTCAAAAGGAAGCTCCTGCACTACTAAATCAAATGGAAACATGGACCGAAGCTCCTTTGGAATAGTTCTGGAGTTCTGGAGTCTTCATTCCCAATTCAACAGTAGTACTGCCCAATACTAAAGTAGACGTCCCAGAGTAGTTCAGTTCCAGAATCTGTTCTTTGGAGGAAAATCTTCTGAACCTTCGGGGGGGGGGGAAGGAGTTACTGTATGGTTTTTAACTATGATTCATCGGTTTTAAAGGGACTCCAATCGGAACACCAAGAAGCCATTTTGGGAAGATGGTCCGACTCCCGTAAACAAAGGAAGCGCCCCCATATAAATACCCATATATGAGTTATGAAGAAGAAGATGAGCGAACAAAGGTCAAGTGCTTGGCCCTTTGGCTAGGCGCTGATGCGCCAGCCGCCGCTGCGGCGGCGGCATTGCAGGCAGCGGAGGCTGCAGGCATGGCTCCGGCCACTCGGGGGCAGAGCCAGGTGTCGGTGGGTGGGTGGGTGCAGGCGGGTGGGCGGGTGGGCGGGCGGGCGGGCGGGCGGGCGGCCGGGTGGGTGGGGTGGGGTGGGGGGGTGGGGTGGGCGGGTGGGTGGGTGGGTGGGGTGGGTGGGGTGGTTTGTTTTTTCTTCCAAGAAGCGGGTACCTCATGGTCTGATAAGAAGTCCCAGCTCGTCGAAACCCGGGTAGATGGAGTTGAGCAGGGTTTATCATCCAGCTGAGCCACGTGCTCGAAACCGATTCGGGTAGATAAAGGTTCGTAGGGGGGATAGTCCCCCTGCCATAAATTGGGTGCTGAGATCCGGCCTTTGTAATTCTTAAAGCATGGTTCTGGGTAGGTTTTGATTCTTCCCCAGCTGAAAGCAATGTGGTCTTTGCCCAGCGCTCCGGAGATTCGGTTCTAGAGGGTTCCGGAGCTCCAAAAGGGGGGGGTATACCCCATGTAACGCAGGTGTGCTGCTCCATTTCAGGTCCATCTTTCAGGGCTCTTGGAATTGTTTTATCGGGTCTGCAAACAAAAAACATGGTCGAAACCCGGGTAGATGGAGTTTGATAGGATTTTCACAGTCCATGCTGATTGGTGCCTAGCTATTGGTTCTTTGGGCAGTAGAGCACGGGGCCTTGCTGATTGGGGCCCGTTGGTCCTTTAGGCAATGTAGAGTGTGCAACCTTTTCCCAAACACAGCTTTTGGTCCAATGAACATCTGTCCTGTGGCTTTTCCCAAACAGAGATGTTAGTCCAAACGAGTGCCCTGCTGATTTTGCATTGACATGCTACCAGGAAAGCCTGCAGCTTCATGCCACTGTCGATGAGGAACTAATCCTGCGACACAGAGTGACAGGGAGTGTAGATTGCACGCAGAGTGTCAAATTGGCTTTACAGATGCCAAGCGGCATCCCGCAGCCACCACGGAATAGCGACATGCCAGGTTGGCCAAGGGGCATTGTTTGGAGCAACCGGCCAAGAGTTTCAAACATCCGTGCCGTGTTCCACATCATGTTGGCTGGCACTTAGGAGAAGCAGGCGGACGCCTCCATTCAAGCAGCGGTGGATGCGGCACTGTCAGCCACGTGACTGCCAACGTTGCATAAATGCAACTTCACCGTACACTCAGCTTGCACTCCTTTAGAGAGGCGTATTACGTTTGCACCATGTTTGGGATGAGCAAGGGAAGAACATGGAATATGGTTGTTGGGATAGTTGGCATATGATGCTTGCCTATCTGCACATTTTGGAGTGGTGCATGATGGCAGGTCTCCCTGAATTGGTGGTTGTGGTTTTGAGAGTTGAGGCCCCCCGTTCTTTTCAATGTCAAATTGGGGGGCTGCACACTCGCCCATCCAAACCATCCCAACTCGAGCATTTGCAGGGTTGTGGGATCAAGGGGTTTCTCCCCACTTCTGTGATACACGGGAATTGCCCCTTTTTTATGGTGGATTAGTCTTTGGGAAGCCCATTTCGTTGTATCACAGTGGTCATCTCCCACAGCCCGGAGCATTTGCGTAGGCGGGGTACCTTGCTGGTGGACCCAAGGCCGGCCTCGCAGCAAACAAGGGCCTGGATCTCGCTGCGGAGCAGGCCCCTCGGGGCCGGGCTCAAGCCATGGCATCTGGTCTTGGGATTTGTCGTTCGGGTAAGCCTTTTGGGGATTTGGGTTGTACACTTGGGGAGACCCATTTGGGGATTTGGGGACTTCTGGTTTGAAGCCAAACATCGTCCTTGGCTACGAAAAAAGGAGGATCAGAGCGGTTCTGGGCTGGATCGTGAGTTGAAACCTTCAAACTGGGATAGGCATCCACCAAGACTTATGAGGGATCCACACGGGGCCCTCAAGCCTTCCCCAAATTCCTCCAAGCCCACCCCCTTCAAGCTTGTTATGCTCTTCACCCCCCGTCAACCCCTTCAATCTCTTCACCCCCTTCAACCCCGTCAACCTCTTCAACCCTCTCCACCGGGTCAAGGCCGGTGAGGCCGCACTGAAAGCTGCGGAGGCGGCAAAGCAGCCCAAAGACCGCGCGGCAGCCCCGTGCCGAAGATGGGGCGAGGGTGGCAGGCGGCTGGTTTCCATAAGGAAAGGACTCCAGACTTGCGCTTGGGGATCGCAAGCCCGGACTTGCGCCTCGAGACACGAAACAAGGAAACATATAGGCATGGGTCAAAATTTAACCACCAGAAAAAAACGCATTTAGTCCTTGGTTCCATTTACCAGGGCAACCCATTTTGGGGTTTCCCCATTTTTGACCCACAGCCATATCTCGATTTGGTGCCTCGATTGGAATCGAAAGCTGCCAATTGCCTTGCCGCTTTCGGCACGACTCGAATTTGGGACGCGAGAAAGCTTAAGGACGCCACAACGCACGGATTCACGGATTCTTTTGAATTCTGAGATGGCTGTGGTTGTCAGGATCCCATTTCGGGGTTTTTCGGTGAATTCACCACCCATTTTAGAACCTATTTTAGTGGGGATTGGGATGTTCACCAGGGGTGCGGGATTTTGACCCATGGCCAGATGGGGGCTCACTGTCTGTTTCTGAACGCCGACTTCCTCGTTCCTCTTCTTCGATGCCTTTTGTTCCATCACTCAAAAACGAAGCCGCGTCACAATCAGCTGCGTGCGCGCTGGAGGTCTGAAAGATGTTGCGTGTGTTTTTGTTGCTCAGCCTTTTCAGGCTGGTGAAAGAAGTTGCCAGTCGGCAACGTCTCCGTTTTAGGGCCTGTGGCTCGTTTTTTTCTGAGTTAGTACCTTGTTTTGGTGGGTTTCACATGGTTTAACCAAAAGCTGTTTTACCGGACAACCCGGACAACCCGGTTTGACCAGAAGCTGTTTGGTGGGTTTCACCCGGTACCGGACAACCTCCGCGGCTTTGGGGGTCTCTAGCCGCCGAGGAGCTGGCCGCAGCGAGGTGCGGCGATGCTGCTGCGGAGGCGGCGCTGAAGGCGAGCGACGGGGTGACACTGACGCGAGGCACAAAATGAGTGGCTGGGGTTTCTGGGGTTGGGGGGTTGGGGGTTTGGGGCTTGGGGCTTCGCCAAAGAACTTCACCTCCCATGAGGTCAAAAAAAATTGGTGTGTAAATCGCCCACACCCTCTTCTTCACTGTCTGAGGCCTTTTGGATTGCTTTGTACGAGGGCCTTCGGCCATTGCTGGATGCGTCACATCGATCAACAGCACCCTTGCCTCACTTCCTGAGTTTCCTGGACTTTCTATATTTAGGTCTTGAACCATTCTAGCGGCATTCCAAAAAAGGGGATCCTTTGGGGGCACACCAATTTGGGAGCTTTCTGTCCACTTTTGCAGTTCCCTATTGAAACCCATAGCCGCCTTCGGCTTCGCCAGGCGAAGCCGCCCGCAGATCCCGTGGCTGCGGCGCGGAGGGCCGCAAGCAGAGCCGCGGAAGGTGCCAAGGCACTGAAGGAGCGGATGGCGAAGCGGTGAGCTTGGCGTTGGTAGTTGGCGGGTGTGCTTGTGCTCGTGTTTTTGCGCGAGTGTACATTATATATGTATGTATAGAGAGAGACGGAGAGAGAGAGATCATCATTAATATAAATATATATATATATGTGATATGTGTGTGTGTGTGTGCAAGCACACCCTCCACGTGCACGAACACTACCCACACAACAGCCCTTTTGACACGCCCTTCCTTGTCTAAATGCAGCTGCCAGTGGTGATCTGTGCTACAAGCGTAACGAGCAGCAAGCCGCACAGAATCCGGCTGTTTTTCCCATTTGATATTTTCCAACAACTTACTGTACATGTCATTCTGTGACCTTCCCGGTTTGCTTGCAGTTGGCCGTGGCATGCTGGTAACATCAAGCGTGCACTTTTAAGCCAACCTCCACATGTTTCCCAATACAATCAGCAGCCCCACTCTCAGTGCGTAATAGCACTGACCAAATGTATCCACAACTCCGGCCATGTCATATGGGGTTTGCCCAGCGTACACGCACATTCAAACACACATACGCACACAAACAAGCACAATCACGAGCACAAAGACAAGCACAAGTGCAGATTGTCCAAAAGCACGCAACCACACACACAACACAACACAACACAACACAACACACAACACAACACAACACAACACAACACAACACAACACAACACAACACAACACAACACAACACAACACAACACAACACAACACAACACAACACAACACAACACAACACAACACAACACAACACAACACAACACAACACAACACAACACAACACACAACACAACACAACACAACACAACACAACACAACACAACACAACACAACACAACACAACACAACACAACACAACACAACACAACACAACACAACACACACACACACACAACACAACACACTCTCACACACACACACACCACACACACACACACACTCACGGCACGCACGCAGGCACGCAGGCACGCACAACGAAAACACAGCACTGACACACACACACACATATGCCATATTATGTTTGATCATGTTTCTTAAAGCGAGTCAAGTTGGCGCTTCAGTGGCAACTTCATGGAGGCGCTCGTTTCCGCGAGTTTGTTTTCTATATTTGAGCCACAATCAAAACCCGGGTAGATGAAGGTTAGCAAGGGGCAGTCCCAGCCAGAATTGTTGCGGCCGCCTTCTTAATTCTTTACATGGTTCTGGGTAGACCATTTTACCACCGGGTTTTGAGTGTGACTCATTTGAGCATCCGGGCTGAAGCATTTGTCTTTGTCTACTGCTTGTCATGCAGCGCCGCAAGGAACGGGCGGACTCGCTGGGGGCAGCCGCGGCGAAGGTGGTGCAGGCGGGGCGAGTGCTGGCCACACACACACACGCGCCTGTGGGCTTGTTTAACGGTACCAAAAGGAAAACCCGAACGCCATGTTTCTTGGGGGTTCCTATTTCAACACTGATATACTCATATGGGTTGCGGAGCTGAATGTTGCGTCAATCATGTTTAGTCAAATCTTGGGTGACTGTTTTATTGAAAGTCAAAGTCCGAGACTGGGGCCCTTCCTCACCCACGGATGAATGTTGGTTGGGCCGCTGCTCAACAAAAAAGAAGCGCCTGGCGCGTGAGTCATGAGCTGAGTCGGGGCCTGTGCAGGTTGTGAGCGATATGTTTCCAAAACACATGTGCCCCCGATTTCCATCTAATTAATGCACGATGGGACTCAAGCGGGGCCTTGGGCCCTGTCCCAGTTTTGGGGTTTTCAACATGGATCAGAAAGCGGTGGGATCAGAAAGCCCAAATGTTGTAAGCCCTGTCCCAGCTTTTGAATATTGGGTTTACTTGTGGGATGTGTGGGGGTCAGAAAACGGTGGAGCCTCACCCCGAAGACTCAACAGGAGCGCTGTGCGGCCAGCGGCGCCAGAGCCGCAGCAGAAGCGGGGGAGAAGGCGGCTAAGGCGGGAAGTCTTCGCTCCCCTTCTTGGTGTTGGTGGCTTCTTGCTTGCCAGCCGTTGGGTTGATGTTTGGTTTCTTGGTGGTTTCTTGGTGGTTTGTGCATGGTTTCTTGGTGGTTTCTTGATGGTTCTTGATGGTTTCTTGATGGTTTCTTGGTTTCTTGGTTTTGGTGGTTCCTTAACTTCAATGGCAGTGGATCTGAACTACTACCGGGTGTCCTGTTCAGGGTCTAGTGGTAGTTTGATTTCTGCCAAAGTTAGACGTTTAGGGGATGCGAAGGCATCTTTCTCAAGTTGGCTCGGTACCTACATAGTTACTGTACCAAAGGGCCATTGGTTTAATTGGGTGTGTCGTGTTTTGGGGGATCCCCCCAAAATGGTGGGCTGCCTGTCGGCTTGTTTTTTGTGGGGTACCCTCAAAAGATACCCAACTGGAGGCAGAGCAACCCAACAAGGGCTGCGGAGCGTGACGCGGCCAGGATGCCCTAGCTGCTGGCACGCCACATTTGGCAGCAGAAGCCGCAGCTTGGCATCATAATTTCGAGTGACAGCCCGATGGTAGGCTGGTTCGGTTTAGGCACCCTTTGGGTTCGGTGTGGCTTACCGGACTGCATGCTTGTCATTGTTGCTTGCGCGTGCCGCATGCAGTCAGTAGGTCCTTCTGGAACATCAGACATCTTTCCCAGACTTGGAGAACTCCAAGATCACCGGCTTGCATCCTTTCAATGAACTATATATATATATATTTATATATATATATATACATAAATCCCATGCTTTAACGTAAGTGTTAGCCTTAGCGCGTGCCTGTAAGGCGCAAATGCTAGCTGCTTGCCTTGTGTTTTGTTTGTCTTAAGCCTTGGCTTGATTTGTTTGGCATTGCGACGACTTGAAGGAGTACAGATGGATCCGCAAGCAATTGTTTGACCAATAAACCACACGGACGACTGGCTTCAGTCTGCGAGGCAACAGCTTGGAACTGCAGAAAATTCGGCAACAAGTTGCTCCTGTATGCACCAAGAGCTCCAAACTCCACCAGTCAAAAGGCAGACCAACATAGCATGCAATTCCAATGCAGCCCAACCCAAGACTGCACTGCAGCTGACCGCTTGACCAAAGCCAACCCTCCGGAAGATTCAAAGTCACAGTTTTGCCTCGACGCTGTGACAAAGCAGCTTGGAATCCGTGCGCACCAAGCCAAATAAATCCCAACACTTGAAATCACCCCCAATACTAAATCTGCTGCTACCAATATCAGCTCAAAACCCAACCAGTCAAAAGGGCGTGATAGAATGAGCATAGGATACCAGCCTAATGCTCATGAGACCTGGGCTCATGGCAAAGACAATGCATTTACGAAGGCACCGCACTGTTACAGTATTTCAAAGCTAAGTAAAGGGAAGATGCCGACTATGTGACCCGGCGCAGCTTCGCGAACGTCTCTACTGAGACCACGCTAGTCCGAATAGAAAGCGATGCGCTCCTGAAAACAAGCAAGCCTGCAGGCGTTCATAGTTTTAGGGTCCCACCCTAATTGATTAATGTGCATACTTTGTTGTTCCGTGCTACATTGTGCTACAAGTAGTCAATCACTGTTTGCCTGCTACACACCTACGTAACAAGGAACCCATATGACCCCATCACACACCACCGCAACAAGTCTTTTAGACTTGTTCAATGGTTGGAAACCCCTTTTCCCCTGAAAAGCCAAGCAACAAGTGCAACAAGTGCACCAAGTGCGCCAAAAACCGAGGGGCCCAAATGGAAAAGAATGGACACCGACGGGTGGGTCTCAGGCTGCCAAGGCAGCCTCCGACGCCGGCAAGGCCGCTGGCCTGGGCCCGGAGCAGGCCGCGGAGTCAGCTTGATCTCGCGGCGTGGTTTTCCATTCAAACCCACCAAAAAGGGGGTGCCGCCCAAGAACAAAAGCACATGGAACGCACAGAATGTTTTTTGTTTTTTTTTGTTTTTTTAATAATAGAACCTGTTCTTGCTGGTTCCAGAGGCGAATGAGGCAGGGAATGGTTCCTGCTTCTTTCGGGGCAGTCTTGTGTTTTTGGGTGGCTTGTCAGCTTCTTGGGGGGACAGTTCCACGCTTTTGGAACAAGTGCAAGACCGTCCCCAAGACACCATGGGGCCTGAAGAGTCAGGATGTCGTGTCAGTCTGCTCTGAGCTTGTGGGTGTGGCAATCAGGGCAAACCGCGTCCATGTTTCCACTTACCGATCGGGCAACCCATTTTGGCACTGTATCGGTTTTTTGAGCCACAGCCTTGTCAGGATTGTCTCTCTTAATTGCTTTTTTGCTTTGGGGGGGGAGGGGGTCTCGCATTTTGTGAGCTTGGTTTTTTGTCCCAAGAAAGCGAGTCTGCGAGGCTCAGACCCAGCAAGAACTCTGAGTTAATTGATTAAAAAATCAAAACAAAAACAATGAAACCACTAAGACACATGAAGACATGAAGAAGCAGGCTTGAAAGAAAAAGTCCAACCTCCCAGGAGGTACCTTTCAGGTACCTTTCAATTCTGTTGAGGGCACCCTTTCACCTCGGGTTACTGGGAAACCAAAAGGAGAACCGGCCGTGGTGTGGGGCCCAATTTTGGCACATGTTGATCAATATTCCTGGCCCCCAGTTTTGGGTATCAAAATCAAAGTCGTGATTCGCCAAGCAATGGGCATCCCAGGAGCGACCTTTCCCATCATCTTGAAATATCAAGCATCTGGTTTTTCACGGGTTTTCCCGAGGCCCAATGGTCATAGAAGTATCTGGGCCGTTCTTAGTGACCTCACACCGTACCTTTTGACGTTGGCAACGCGCGTTGCCAAAACGCGCGTTTCAGAACTCCCGTTTTGCACATTTTGGGGAATACGGCAGTCTGGCGATTGCTGGGCGACTTAGATGCTTTTTGTTGCCCTGGAATAAAAGCATATGTGGCCCTACTGGCCAACTTTCTAAAAGCTCTACGGGGCAGTTGTTTGCACGTCCGGCGACTTAGATTCTTTTCTTGGCCTGCAGTAAAAGCACATGTCTACTGGACAACCTAAGAAGCCCCACAGAGGAACGCGATGCCTTTTTGTGGCCTCGAAGCAAAAGCATATGTCTGGACAACTTGAGAAGCTCTACAGGGGAACACGGCAGTGTTTTACGTAATTATCGGCGACTTGGATGCCTTTTTTGCCTTGAAGGCCCCTGCCCTCAGGCTCTCCAGGTGCTAAATGTTGGTTTGAGAGCGTTTTCGCAGCCCAGAAGAAAGCATGTGTATGCCTCGCGGTCGCTCAGAGGCCGCCGAGTTGTTTGTTTGCCTTCAGGCTCTCCAGATGCTGAATGTTGGTTTGAGTTCTCTTTCCCAGCCCCGAAAAACGCATTCGAGTCCTTTGGTGTGGCTGCAAGATTTGTCTGGCCCTCGCGCAGAGGTGTGTGTGTGTGTAAGATGGGGCTGCATGCTTTTTTCCGGCAAAAAGCACTCGGGCCTTGCGCCTGCTGACCGCGTAGTCACGGCGGACCCGCTTACGTTTCCAAACAGCCGGACTGCACTAGGTCCTTGCGCCTGCTGTCCACGAAGTCACTGTGAACCCGCTTACGTTTCAAAAGCCTTTGGGACTTGTGTCTGCCGACCACGTAGTTACGGTAAACCCGTTTACGTTTCGAAACTTAGCTGGCCCCCGCGCAGGTGTGTGTGTGTGTAACATGGCTGCATGCTTTTTCCGGAGCCTGCAAAAAGCATTCGAGCCTTGTCTGCCGACCACGTAGTTGTGGTGAACCCGCTTACGTTTCGAAACTTGGCTGGCGGCCGCGCAGTGCAAGATGGGGCTGCATGCTTTTTCCGGAGCCTGCGGAGCCTGCAAAAAGCATAAGGGCCTTGCGCCTGCTGACCACGCAGCGACCACACAGCCACATTCCAGAATGCGCGTTTTGGCATACGTTCCAGAACGCACGTTGTGCGCGGTGCGTTTTGGGGCTACTAAGGGACCGTTTGATCAAGCTCCATATACCCAGGGCTTCAACCTACGTCACACACCTTGACTGTTATTGGGTTGGATCTTTAGACTTTAACTTTTTGGTTGAAATCAATTTGGGTTTTCCACTAAACCCCCAAAAAGTGAAAAACTGTTTGCAGGAGGGTCGTGGCAGCAACCAAGACACGGCTTGGCGCACTCGCCGTGCGCTTCCGCGCCAGGCCGCGCAGGCTGCGGCGCTGGCCTCCGGCGATGCAGCGGCCGAGGTGGCCATGGCCGCTTCGGCAAGCCGCCGGTGTCGCGCGCGTGGCTCCCTTGGGTTCCTAGGTCCCCCAGTAGTTTTCTTGGGTACCTAGGTCCCCCCAGTAGTTGGTTGGGATATCTCACCAACTTTTTGGTTGGGAGGGTCCCTTTTTTCGTTGGGATGTCTCACCAACGTTTTTGGTTGGGAGGGGGAGGACTCCCCAATTGGCGACTAGGGGTGCTGGGAAATCGCCTGGAGGAGGGTACAACAAGCCAGGGTTGGGAGCCCTCTCTTTGCCTTTTCTTGGGGAAGAGTTCCCCTTTAAAGTCAACCAACCAAAAAAGGATGCCGATTCGCCAAACCACCGGGGTCCACCTGTAGGAAGGCTGATTCAGGGGGTTTGCGGTTTACGTCCGTGGTTGTGGGCGTGCGACAAAAAGGCAACTGGGCACATAGACACAGAGATAGATGTATTCAAGCCGAGCCCATGACGAGCGCTCCCGGCAGTTGACTGGAGCTGCGACAATTGTGGCGTTGTGTAACACAGCAGAAAATGCGTTATTTTTGCTGGTGCTCAGCAGGGAATGAGGGAATGAACCCGACAATTCCCTTAAGGGAAATCATAGGGGATGGTTTATAGGGGTCATTCCCTCATTCCCTGCTGAGCACCACCTTCAACTTCGCTTGAGTGCCACCTTGAAATGCTTTGCTTGCTGTAGGCCGTGATGCCATGAACCCGTGATGCACCAGCAACCATGTTTCATTAAACCACGGAGCTTACTCCTGGCAAGGTTGGAGGCCAGATGTATGCGGTTCCATGAGGTCACGCGCGACAACGTGCAGGAAGCAGCCACACAGGCGAGCAAGGCAGCCGCTTTGGCTGCATTTGTGCGGTTTTGCGCTTGTGCGCTTGTGTGTTTGTGTGCGTGCGGGCGCGCTTGTGGTTCTGACAACAGGTTGCAGCCTTTGACTTTCAGTTTTCGCTTGTTGCACAACCATGGTTGGATATGTTTGGCTCTGATTTCCACTCCGGTCTGGAGAGTGCCAGGATAAACCAAGGGCGTTGTGTTGTTGGGGCGGCTACCTTGACGGGCGTACCCGTTGAAAGAGCCTCAAGCCTTGATCTTTCAACAAACTTCCGGATCGCTCAAGTCTATTTGGAATGGCACTTGAAAGTGCATCTCTTTGCAACAGCAATAGCTTCGGGAACTTGATCTTGGGAGATTTTGAAGAGAAAGGGGACGTTTTGATCCGGGGGGGGCTCTGGAAAGTTCCGAAGGCAGATTGGAGGGGTTGATTTTGCCAAACCTGGCGAATGCCTTAAAGGTGGAGATTGCAATCACTGGTGGTTTTGGAATCAGGACTCACATGTCGCATGAACCGATGTTTTTTCCTGCTGCCGACCCCCCGCCCAAAATATCGTCCACATGTTTGCAGCTGGGGAATCTGTCTAATTAGGACCTGGTCAAGGTTTGGGTCGTAGTAACCTTCTGGATGTTCATTTAGGAGTTCTATTCTCAATATCTTTGCAACGTCGAAACGGGCTGGCTTCGTTCACCTCCGTTTTTTTTTCCTCCTCTGGCCTGGTTTCCCTAGTCCAACCCCTCGCTTGGTTTATGCGAACAGCTCGGCACCCCTCGCCTTCAGAGCGGCGATCGGGTCCCATCGCTGAGGCCCTCCAGGCTGCCGAAGCCGCTGGCCTCCCGCAGAAGAAGCTCGCGGAAACGGCCGGCGAGGCGCACTCGGTACCGCTGGGTGGACTGGACTCCCCCGAACGACGCCCCCCCTGGCCCCTCCGGAGCCTTTGTCTCTTTTTTGTTTGTTTGTCTTGTCTCTTTGTTTTTGTGTCTGTGCGTTCTGTGTTTGTTTGTCTCCATATTTCTGTGTCATTGCATCTCTGTGTGTGTGTGTCTTTGTGTTGTTGTGTCTCTGTATCTCTGTATCTCTGCGTTTCTGTGATTCTGTGTTTCCGTGTCGCTGTGTCTGTGTGTGTGTTTGTTTGATTGCTTGCGTGTTTGTTTTGTTGTGTGTTCGTTTGTGTGGCTCTGTGTGTGTGCCTTTTGTTTGTTTGATTGTTTATTTGTTTGTTGATTGGTCGATTGATTAGTTGATTGCTTGCTTGCTTGGTTGGTTGGTTGGTTGGTTGGTTGGTTGGTTGATTTATGTATTTATTTGTTTATTTATTGAATTAGTTATGCATTTTTGTTTTTTAGTTGATTGGTTAATTGATTGCTTGCTTGATTGATTGATTGGTTTATTGCTTGATTGATTGATTGGTTGGTTGGTTGCTTGCTTGATTGATTGATTGATTGGTTGGTTGATTGGTTGGTTGTTTGTTTGTTCGCTTGTTTGTTTGTTTGTTTGTTTGTTTGTTTTTTTGTTTGTTTGGTTCTATGTGCGTGTGTGCGCGTGTTTGTTTGTGTGTTTTTTGTTTGTTTGTTTGTTAGTTTGTTTGTTTGGTTGGTTGGTTGGTTGGTTGGTTGGTTGGTTGTTTTGGTGTGTGTGTGTGTGTGTTTGCGTGTTTGTGTTTGTGTGTCTGTCTGCCTGTTTGCCTACCTACCTACCTGCCTGTTTGTTTGCGTGCTTGTTTGTTTGTCTGCCTGTTGCTGCTTGCTTGCTTGCTTGCTTGCTTGCTTGCTTGCTTGCTTGCTTGCTTGCTTGCTTGCTTGCTTGCTTGCTTGCTTGCTTGCTTGCTTGCTTGTTTGTTGCTTCAACGCACCTCCAATCTAAACCAACTACCCCAAACCTGCTTGCTAAACCGCGCAAGCCCTCAACCCGACGCAAAACCACCCTAAACCAAGCCAGCCCCACCCACAAACCCTCACCCCTAAACCTACTCTACACCTACCCTAGCTTACCCCAAACCTACCCTTAGCCACCCACCCCACAAGTTACCTCAAGAAAAAATCAACGAAAGACCGGCTTTATCTGATGAACCCAAAGATTCAGTTGAGTGACACATGAACCCGTGCCAGCCCCTCCTTGGATAGTTGTTGTAAGGCCTTCCCAGATGCAAAAGTGAAAGTGGCACCCTGAGCAATGCAACGCGCAACGAGGAGGGTAGAATGTCATATCCTGGAGAAGGTGTGACCTCCATTCTCCCCGCATTGCTTCACCTGTGTGCCAGGGCGCTCCCGGCTCGCTAGCGGTCATTTTTACTGGGGCCCGATCTGCCTCGATCAGGATTTGCCCTCCCTGGCTTCCTGGTTGTTCAAAACCAATTGCAGTCTTGGCAATCCCCAAGAGCTTCAGGAAGTGATCGGCCGCATGGCGAGCTGCCAATACTCGGTTTGCTTCGGCGTGGGGTCGATGCCTGTCGAGCAGGGCCTCGGAGCCTGAGGGCGGCAACACGGCTTCGCTCGCGCACAGCGCCTCCGGTTTGGAAACCCAAAGGCCAACTACCCCAAACTAACCTTAAACCAGCACCTATGCTAAACCCATCCTAAACCTATGCTATGTCACACGAACCCACCCTAAGCACCTTGACCCCGAAACACTAAACCCAGCTGAAGCGTCAACTGAAGCAAGTGGCAAGCCTGCGCCAACCCAACCTCCCTATTGAACTCGCCCACCCTATGCCAACGCTGCACCCGCCCTGCACCAACTAAAACCCACCTGGACAGAGGCAGCTCTCCGGAAGGCAGCTGCGAGGTTTCTGCAAGGACATGGAACACAAGCGGCCGCGGCGCGGCGCCCAACACGCAGTTGCTATGTCTCTGTGGTTTGTGTCTCGATGTCTCGATGTCTCTATGTCTGAATTTATCTATGTCTCTATGTCTCTGTTTGCTTGTCTTTTTTTCTTCCTCTATTGTCTCTGTGCCTTTGCGAGTCTCTGTTTCTGTGTGTCTGTGTGTCTCCGTGTGCTATGTTGCCCTTGTTGTTTTTGTGTCTCCGTGTCGATCTTTGCGTCTCTCTCAGTCTCTGCGTTTCTGTCTTGCTGTTTCTTCGTTTCTTTGTCTCTCTGTCTTTGTGTGTTCAGCTTTGTTTTGGGGCAAGTCAACACTGGAATCCAGTTGACTGCGACAATGCTGCTATTATGTTGCTTCTGTCAATGCCAAACAGCTACGAGGCTCTAGCCAGGATGCGATTGTGAAGACATGATTGACAGCAATTGCTTACCCATCATGCTGTTTGCTCAGCTATCTCCAGGAAGGGACCCGCAATGCCACCTGAGTTTTTTTCTGGACAGGTGAGCCACAATCAAAGCCGGGTAGATGAGGGTTAGTAAGGGACAATCCCAACCATAAATGGCTGCGGATATCCGCCTTCTCATGGCTCTGGGGCTCGACCATTTTAGTTAAAAGGGTTTTGATTAATGACTCATTTGTAGTTTGCGTGGCTTTTCATGAAATATTTGGACCTAGCCTCCCCCTTGTTCTTGAGTGGCTGTTGATGGCATTTTTGACTCAGGTTGTGTTGTTTTTTTGGCACATGGCGATGATCGCACAAAAACCGCTTTGAGCTTCAGGCAGCCAGCAGAGCAGCTGTGGAGGCAGCTGTCGCTGCAGGCGCCCACGGGATCCCATGCAAGGATGGCCATGGCCATGTTCTTGCCGCAGAGTCTGTGTGGATGTTTTTTGTTTTTTGTGTCTGTGTGTGTTTCTTTTGTGTGTGTGTGTGGGCTTGTCAAGCAGTCCTTGTGTGTGTGTGTATTGAAGCGATGCTTGATGTCAAACAATGAGCTGCTTACGGCCCATGCTGTGTGTGTCAGGACTGGCCCATGTGGTCACAGAGTTGAACTGATGCCACTAGCACACCTATCTGGTGTCGGGCACACAACTCAGCTCGAACTTTCGCAGGCCTGTCTGCTGACAAGGCAGCCGAGGAGGCTGGCAAGGCCAGGAGTCGCAGTTTGTGCAGTGTGAGTGGGGTGGTTGTTGCTTGTTGGTTGCTGGTGGCTGATGTTGTTGGTCAACTGACCTTTTTTGACGTTCACAGCCTGGCCGCTTAGCCTAGCCTCCTTGGGGAGTTTGGCTGGCCAAGTGATACGTTGCCGGAAACAGCCCAACATGAAAAGGAAACATCTATACATCTATTATATATATTTGTTTTGTTTGTTCATTTACTTGTTCATTGTTTAACGGAAATCGTAATTTCCTCGCTGTCATCTCAGGGTGGAGTCATCCCTGGCGATTCGAATCGCCGTGAGGCTGCGGCCGAGGCCGCCCTTAAGGTGGGAATCAGCGAAGAGCCACTGGGCTTCCCATGGCGCAGTGCGAAATGGATGAAACGGTCCGGGCATGGGATGACCAGTGGGGAGCCACTAAGATCATACTTCCGACATGGGAACATGCGTCCATTTGCTGAAATGAAGATTTGTTTTCAATTTTCGCCGGTGGCCCCGGTGGTTTTTTTGAAGGGGATCGAGTTCACTGGAAATATGCTCTCATGTTTGTTTGGGCTATTTGGAGGTTGATCAATCTTCCTGGAATCAGGGCTGATTTTTCTCATGTGGCTCAAATGTCATCTTAGTGGTTTCCACAATGGTCACCCTATGAATCCACTTGCTTAAGCCCCCTAGACAAAAAAAATAAACTAATTCCAGAAGTGCAGTGGACAATTAAAAGCATTATTTTCGCCCCCAAATGACCAAGGGTAACTTTTCCCATGTGGTTGAAGTATCATCTTAGTGCCATCCCCACCTCCATTGCTGCCTTCACTTGCTTCAGTCCCCGGAATAATTCGAGTTTTCCCAACAAGGAAACCGACAGGGAGCGAGAGTACGGTTCATTTTCCCTGACCTATTTGAAGCCAGGCAAGGCCAATCATGGATCAAAGTCACGCTGTCTCGTGTTCTGCCCGAGACATTTTGAAACGGGGGCTGCTTGGGTTGCTCATTCAGCTGTGCTTATGCAATCGAACCAGCCAAACCTTGCCAAGGATGTCCGTGCACTGGTCACCAGCGCAGCCTCTCCACATATATATATACATATATATATATATATATATTATATATATATATATGTATCAGAGCTAGCGTGGCTAAATCCACATCAGCCTCTGAAAAAATATGCCTCACAGTTTCGCGTTTCGCGTTTCATGGGTCACCACGATGTCCACCAGATTCCCAAGTGAAAGTGGGCCATTTGAAGTGATTCCAATTCGAAAACCGGGGTTTTGTCCTTTCAACCTGCCATGGTAGCACCATCCAAGGAACGCAGCAAAGCTGGCCGCGGCAGCTGCCGGGCAGGTCCTTGCTTTTTGTTCAGCAATCGCTCACGTAACCCCCACTTCTGCCCCATGTCCTGTTCTAAGTATATGTATGTTTCACACATCAAATGGCGACGAAAAGAAAATCCAACCTTCTTAGGGGATGGGCCGCCACAACTTGGTGGAATATCAGCTTGAGGTGAACTTGTGAATGCTGGTTTTCCTTTTGATGTGCTTTCAGGGGTGTCCAACAAGAGGTTCCTAATTCTGACAATACGTGTACTGCGCGGAGCATGCCGAGGCTGTTTGACTCGTTCCATGGAGCCCGATTGCCGGTTCTCCCAGTGCTCCCCAGTCCTTCCAGCAGTTGAATCCTCTTTCGAAGGCTTGCGCCCGGTTCCCTTTGGGCCTTCACGGTCCCAGTTGTTTTCGGGTTCGTCAGGTTTTCGGTGTTTGTTTCTCTTGGGATCCTTCTCAAGAAGCATGGGCACCCACTTTCAAAATTGGCTCCTAAGGAGAACGATGGGTGAAGAGAATGGGGAATCAAGCCTTAGACCAGTTGCCAGGGCGGCAAATCCAAATCCAACCCACCAATCCAAACCACCAGTTACTGGTTACCCTCCCACCACTTACCATGGAACCTCACAGGAACCCGGTCCCTTTACAAGGACAATGGTCCGAATCAGGACCCCCCAGCCAGGTTCCAAGTTGTTCACAGTTGGCAAGTTGTTCAGGCTTTCCGGTGTTTGGTTCTGCTCAGGTGTATCCCCAAACCACCAAACCAAAGCCACCAGCTAGGTCCCTGAGTTAGTTGACCCCCCCCAATTCCAAGTTCCAGGTTTAATTCTTGGTTGGAGGCAGTGGAAGGATTCCATGCACCAAAGCGCCGCGCGTGCAGCATCATGGACCTCACTTGCGTCTCCTCTTGAGGGTACCCTTTTGGGCCTGGTTGGTTAGTTGGTGGGAACCCTCCACGTCTTCCCGCTAGGCCGCCGCCGGCATGGCCGGCGCCACCCCGGCCGCCGCCGCCGCGGCGGCGGCCAGCGCCGCGGCGGCGGCGGCCGCGGCGGCAAACCTGCCGCAGGAGTCTTTCTTTTACAGCGTGTGTTTGGTGTATGGCCATGGTTCAAAACCGATGGTACCATTTTGGGATAGGTGCACCATTTTAGTCTATTTTAGTTGGGATTGGGATGTTCACTGGGGGTATGGGGTTTTGACCCATGGCCATATGTTTGCTGATACATATGTATGTATGTGTATATACATATATATATACATGTATAAGAAACAACCTCTGGTTGATATAACATTTATATGTTGTATGATATGTTATGTTTGTTTCTAAACAAAAAAAACATCTGGTTTGTGCAATAAAACACAAATTTGTAGTTGTCATAAAAACAACATGCAAGTTGTTGTCTATTCAACACCCAGTTTGAGGAGAGTCAATGAGACTGGCGCGAGGTGTTGTTGGATCTAGAAATGCGGCAGTATCTCGTGGGTTTGTGCCTTTTGGAGAGAAGCCCTTTCAAGGTGGGTTTCAGAGAAACCAAAATGACAAGAATCATCGTGGGGGTTCACCCGCATGGATTGTAGGCAGACAGGTGTGGTATGGGGAGCTGCTGTCGTTGGTGAAGGGTTTGTCGCAAAATGAGGAGCCGCTTTCGTCGGTGAACAGAAATGAACAAGTCGCCAACCAGGGGCTTTAAAAAAACATAGTTCCTGGAAGGTTCAGCATTTCATCAGAGTACCTCGTTTTTTGGTGCTTCGAAAGGGAAACCAAAAGGAACGCTTTGGGGGGTAACCTCAAAACAGACGCACCCATTGAAGCAATCCCACCATTAGTACAATCAGTCTTGCTCAAACAAGAACCAAACCGGCTTCGAACGTTGGGCCCGTGTCTTGCCAGGATAGGACGTTGTCAAGCAAACCAAAAGCAATGTCTCTTGCCACAGGCCAGTTTGTGCAACGGGATGGCTTTCTGGAGATGTATCTCTCCTTGAAGGGATCAGCATGGAACTCCTGTCAGGGTTGCCCATACGGCATTTTTGGTTTGCAGGCACCGTCAAGCTTTATTCTCAACATCCGTCGCTGAGGGATGACCTTTACCCAGATCATGATCAATCTCACACAGGCTCCAAGCTGTGCAAAGAAGCAGCTATGAAACACTGAATAGCCTGTGAGCACAGTTTAGACGAATTGTGCTGACAACTAGACCCTATATATGTTCAAATTACGAGCTAATTGACAGCTTTCGCGCATGGAAAATTTGAGTTCTGTCATGGTGCATGTTTAGATCCTTAGATGTCTAATGAGAAGAAAGACTTGGCAAATGTTTGTTCACCTTTGTGCATGCAGTGCGTGGGTGTTTTTGTATCTGACCTCCATCAGAACGCGTGAATCTCCTGCAAGGAGAAGGCGGCAGCGGCAGCTGTAGAAGCAGCCACAAAAGCAGTTGTGGCATTTGCTGCAGTGCCTGGACAGCAATCGATGCAGCGCCAATTGAAGAAGTTCACCCTTCTGATGTCGTGTGCCTGATCATGTGTGCGTGTGTTCCTTGTTTA